GAATTATTTATATTATTATTAGTATTATTATTATTATTATTATTATTAGTAGAAGTATTCGATTGTTGATTATTTGGTAAAGGACCAGCTGGAACAATTAATCTTGGTTTTTGAGAACGACCTCGCTTTTTTGTTTGTTCGATAGGTTTATCATTAATATGAGATGATGATGACGAAGGAGGAGGTGGAACCAAATTATTATTAATAATAATATTAGTATTATTATTAATATTGGCAGAGGCATGATTAAGATTGGTTACTGGAGTATTTGGAATAGGTGAAGATGATCTAGTAGAAACTGAAGAATTACTTCCTGATTGATGATGTGAAGGAGGTGGAGCTAAATAATAAGGTGAAGTTTCACGAGGATCACTTGAAATATGATGATGAGGATGATGAGGATGATGTTGTTGTTGTTGTTGTTGTTGTTGTTGAGGTGGTGATAATTGTGGAATTGATTGTGGTGGTAAAGATTGTGGTGGTGGTAAAGAATGTGGTGTAGAATGTGGTGTAGAATGTGGTGTAGAATGTATGGATTGAGGATGATTCAAAATATCAGGTTGTTTACCTTTTGATTTGTATGATGATGATGGTGGTGATGATTGAGAATTAGCATATTGATGTAAATGCGATGGTGGTGGAGGATCCATTGTTGACATTGATGATTCTCTTGTTAAATAATGTCTATTATCTTGAGAACGATAATTATCAACAATTGGAACAATGGACCTATTTGGTAATTGATCAGGTGGAGGAATAGGTAATGATTGTTGTGGTGGTGGTGGTTGATGATGATGATGGTGATGATGAGAAGAAGAAGATGATGATGATGGTGGTAGTGGTGGTGGTGGTGGTGGTGCTTGGGTGGTAGTTGCCACTTGTTCACTAATGTCTTTAGTTATATCTACTGACTTATTCTGATTACGATTATCAGAATTATTATTCTTTTGAGTCTTTTTCCTGTTTTTATTGGTTTGTTTGAAATTTTTATTATATGAATTTTGACGACTGTGTCCTTTTTCTTGTTTCGAATTTTGCTGCGATTGATGTTTTGTTTGTCCATGATTTTGTGATTTCTGAACTTTCGGTGATTGTTGATTATTTTGATTATTTTGTTTTTGTTGTGTTGTATTATGAGGTAAATTAACAACAGTAAGATGTGAAGTTGAAATTGGACTTTGCATTGG